CTGCAAGGCGCAGTTGAACAACCTATTTGACGGCCAGTTTATGAAGGTGGTCAAAAAGATTGCCTCATGCTTGGGAAACATGATATTCTCATTCAACAGATGGGGGCAAAGTGTCCCAAAATGACGACACGGTGGATGGCCATGGGAGACTGGACCCTCTGGCAGATCAAAAAGCGCCTTGAACTTATTGAGTTTTTTTGTGGGCGACGGCCTGACCAACTGGCTCTTCCACTGTGGTACTGGCCAGTTGTCGCTGCCGTTTGTGCCATTTTCAATCGGTCAACAAGGCAATCGGAAATATGCAGGCAAGAAACTTTTTGATGTCACAGTATGATGAGGAAATTGTGCGTATGCTGTCGGATCTAGCAGCCGAGTGCCAAGTTGAGCATGAAGTGCTTTTTGATGAAGGCGACTTGGCGCGCGAAGTCTCTGAGCAATGGTCAATCACGCATACTGCGGTTGATGGATTCCTGCGCGATCAAGGATCCTATGTAGCGCAAGCTCTCGAAAATATGGACGGTGCAACTGTCCTGATGATCAAGCAGAATGTTGGGCAGCTAATTATCGGGATGATTAACTTCTTTTCAAAAATCAAGACGATGCGCCAGGGGGACAACACGACGCGGATTGAGGACGCTCCCGAGGTCCTTCCACACCAACTCGTGAAATTGAGAGGTCGAGATTTTAGTCCGATTATTCAGAAATTGGTTGATCGTCTGAACGCTCATTGGTCGGCGGAGCATGTCGCGCAAATCGAGGATGACAAACGAAAAATGCGCACGGCATATCTGAAGGGTGGCGGATTCGCTACCGTCTTAGACGCCTGCGACCACAAGACAACGTTCGAGGCTGGCTGGAAGCTCGTCGGCCAGCGGTTCGAAGCCCTGCATGATTGAGCGAGAGGGATCGCGACACTATTTCTGAATACGGCATCTGTGGAGTCTGACTTCTCCATCCTCGGATGGGAGAAAAACGAATACCGCGAATCTATGACCGATCTGTTTTTGGAAGGTGTTCTCCAGTTCAAGCAATTTTCACTTTTAACGCAAATAGGCTTGTAGGCACCGATTTAGATAATAAAATGTTTAAAAGTGGTAATTACCACTTTTAAATTTCTACCAGTTACCACTTTTAAGCTAAAAGTGGCTAAAAGTGGGTTTACCACTTTTAAGGTGGCCAGTAATAGTCTCAACAAAATGGAGCAACATGTTAGCGTTACAAACATTCAATAGTCAAGTAACAATAACAGCCGACACAAAGATGTAACGTGGTTCACCCCTTTGGTAGTATAATGAACGTTCTCTCTGATAATACACAGACTGTGGATATGAATACCAAACATGAGAGACTAACCCAGTTATAAATAGCTAGAACATGAGGTTACTCCTTAACCGGAGTAAACCTCAACACAACATAAAACTAGGATATATTTTTGGCTACAAAAGTTAGAAAATTAAAAAATATTGTAAATTGTTTAAATGAAACATGTAGCAATAACAAATATTCAAATTGGGGAAGAAAGGTAAAATCGTTTTTGAAATGAATTAGACATCGATGAAAAAAACATTTTAAAGAGTTCTGCCTTTGTTGCGGTGGATAATCATATGGTAGTGTAGATGCTTTCAACTAAATTGACTCCATGAACATCTATTTGAAGCTGAAGAGACTACGGTAACTGTGGTCATCATCATTGCACAAGAGTAATCATATCATGTGTGCACGGATTGAACAAGTGATTCAAATGGATCCACAACTATAATGAAAACTCAACTGAGTTTGAAATTCAATTCTCCACATGCAGATTAAATCTCAAAATAATCACTATTAAGTGTGGAAACCCAGTGAAACGGACATTATCAATAATTGACATAAAGATCTGGTAAGAATCTAAAGTGGATGAGTAAGTAGATAATGATGGGATATGGAGAGTCAAAATCTGTATTGGTTAGATGCACAAACATGACCAAGAATAATACAACATAGCATTCCACACAATCACTATATACTAAAAAAGCTCAGTCAATAATTGCTATGACCAAACTGCCGATAGATCCTAGTTTGAAATGTAGCCAGATATATCTTGATTAACTTGGTATTCTTGGACTTCGTTTACGCAAAGAGTACATTTAGAAACTTCGAATGAGCCGTGATCATGAGCCTGCAGGAGAAAACGTTTCTAAGAAAATAACGTTTTCTGTAAGAAAGTAATATATTTTCAACCAAATGAAAATAAAGAATATAATCGTACATCTTAATAGGACATGTATGAATGATGAGAATACTAGGATTCGATGTTTACTGATCACGGGAGGAAAGTTATGTTTGTAAATTTACAGGTTTCATGGAGTTACTAAAAATGGCATAGTTGAAAATGGATGTTATTTCCATTTATCTAAGGCATTCTCTAACATCAGGATCAATATCGGACATAAATAGCTAATGACTTTGTGTTGTTCAAAGTCGGAACTATTAAAGTTTAATTTTTATTTTAGGTCATCAAATTTCTTTTGCATCAAGAAATCTCAATTTTTATAGCCTAAGCTATATTCAATTGAAAGAAAAATAGTCACAACACATATTTCCTTTCTCAAACATAAGAACAAGTACAAATTGATATTTTACAACTTATAATTTCATGAATGCATTTTCGAATATCATATTTATTTCAATCTTAGTGGTTTACATATGATAGTTATGTCTACAAGCACAATGGACTCTGCCTTTGACTAGCTTTTCTGTCTTGTATCGTAAGAAGTTTAAGAGTTTGCTCTTCAACCTCTTTCAACGCAAGTGAGAATTTTAATGAGTCATAAATTGAAGCAAAGATCCATCATTAAGCAAAGACATTAGTTTACTTCATAATATATACATATCATCGTCATACTTAAACGTTCTCACTTTACGAAGGCATAAAGGTGAAAACTTTTTATAGTTTACCAGAGAAACATATATGGTAAATACTCACATGAATTTTGCAAAGAATTATGCAAAGTCATCTGCAATTATGTAGGGTATTATCGTTTCACACAGTGATGCAAATATGGATCGGAGGGTACAGTTCCTGTTTACTCCAATCTATTGTGTTGAGACCTGCAAATTTGATTCCCTTTTAGCTAATACAGAAACTTGACTGTTACTCGGTTATTATCTTGGTCAAAGCCAATATGATCTGTTCGCTTTGATAAGATCTCAAATCTTTCTTCTTGTCGTTCATTTAATACGAACCGTTACTTCAATATATGAGACATAAAGTTGTTGTAAATTTCTTTTGTATTCTAATCTACATGCCTGTGAAACTTGATATGCTGCCATGAATATCACAAATCATGTAAAGAACATAATTTCCAATGAGCTCCAAATTGCTAGCAGTCTAAATTCAAAATCGAGGTTCTAGAGCACTTGCCAACTCTTCCAACATCAGGAATCTCACAAATTCCACCCACCTTCTGGCTTTGCACATACAAAATATTATTGTAATTACCACTCTTTGGGCTCACTCCCTTAGGGTAGAGAGAGAAGCTGCTTACCCCAGGAATAGTTTTTTTTTATTTTTTAAATTGGGACTTTGACCTAAGAATAAAAATGAAGATTGGAATCTTAGATTGAATTATTTTTATATTTTGCCTGATTATAAACATAGTTTACATGAATATTTGTTTCCAGTATACACATGCACCAAGTTGTAGTTACCAATGATTCAAACATGAATCTTGCGCGTTGCTGGAGGTGTAGCTAAAGAACAAATTCGATATTCCTACCCCTATAATTGACTTCTGAGGTTTTTATGCTTGAAATACAGAAAGAGAAGCTTTTCAGAGTAGTGCAAACTTCTGAACTGGCTTAAACCACATGATTATATTGTGTTCTTTACTATTCTAATTCGAAGTCAAATTAAGTTTGCTTGCTTTCGGGAATATTTTCAACTTAAAAAATAAAATAATCTTAAATCAAATATCTTATGCATGATGAAAGTAAGACCAATATCTTTCTAGGATGCAAATGCATGCTCTTTAATTCATTTGAAGTCTTCGTATACCATGGTTTCCGGATTCAGTAAAAAGTTGTTCAAAAGTTATTCAAAAGACAGATTTTTATGTACAAAATTTTGTTTAGACTTGATACATATTTTTCAGTATTAGCACTGACTGTGAGCAGAATATTATATCCATTGAAGTTGTAATTGACTGTTTAGAACCAGTGTCAACCTTATGCATATGAAATACTATCAACTGCCGAAAACTTTCAAAGATTCCTCAAAGTGTCTTCACAATAATATAAATCCACATTGCATTGGACATAGTTAAATATGATAAGAAACTAAAATTCCTTGTAATCAAATGATCATTAAGATCCCGACTCAATCCATCATTCAGTTGCTTACACCGTTTGAGGTCTTCTGGACATATTTGTCTCATATAAATGAATACTGTCATTCTATCCTGTAGATGTATAGTTGCGGTAAGAAGTGAATAATATAGTGGTTTACATTCTCCGCTGTCAAATTGAACTTCTTTGCTCGTTCATAATCAGTTTTCTTGGTGTATGTTGGAACGTATTATATTTGCAAGGCCTTCGGAGTGAGCTAGATTCTGTAGATCTCACGGTACTGGATAGTTATTGGCTGTATGTTAGTTCCTCAGAATACATCATGGTTGCAGTTATTCGTGTCACATCCAAAATAAAAATTCCACTTCAGGGTACCCAACGGGTATGAACAGGTTGATAGTAAATCTTTGTCCATTTTCACCGAGTGTTCGTTTCTGAATTTGAACATTACAGGTGTCACTTCAGAGGAAAGATTGTGTGCAAAATTTTAAAACAGGTGCACAGAAAGAGTCCCAATCTGATAATGATGAAGAACACTCAATTTATGGATTACAATTACAGGACTGCATAATTACTGCAAGATGGACACTTCTTGCACTTACACATATCTCGTTGAGCAAAACACCTCCAATAGCTCTTTCCAGATAATCAAATTGAACACACTCTGGAATTTGCTTTTCGGAAGAATACCGTATCCATGCACCTTGTCAAAGTATTTGCACAAGACGGAAGTAAACTTATCAAGGCCCGAGAGTAATATCATAACGGTGTACAGATCAAGCAATCCGTGCAACCGTCTTCAAGAAGCTGATCATTTACGTATAGAAGCAAGCTATAAGTCCAGTAGGTACATCATTGATTTGAGAAAATATCATCATTATGTATCAATATAGAAAAGCGATGGCCCAGATGATTAACTGACTTCTCAAAATACCTACTCAAGATACAGGGTTAATTTCCAGCCAAATCGTTGGCGTACTGTAACTGAGAGAAAAGATGCACAATGAAAATGACATCGAGACTAAAAACTCTCTCTCTGCGCTAGTGACTACAAATTGCACAAGGCTGACTGATGGCTTTATGTACTACGAATGAACATATGACGGTTTACAATCCTTAGTGTGCCCAACTGTTTTGTACATATCCGTAGATTTCTCGTAAAAATGTGGCATAAATATATATTTTGAGAATCTAACAGGATGCCGACCTAAGCAGACGCAACCGAAGGATGCTCCTCGATCATATCCGCCACAGTTGCATCACGAGACGACTTCCACACGATGGCAAAGCCGACAGATGCACAGGCCTGTTCTTTACCATTTAAGTCCAACACTTGGAATTTGAGCTTGTACTGACCCTGCAAGATGTGAAAGAATTAGAAGTGTGAATTGGCAGACCTTAACGATATTTAAAAGCATGATGGCTATTGTACAGTTTTCGACATACCCTTCAAGTGTATCACGTGTTTACTCCAGGTGAATTAAGAGCATATACAGAACCCCTCCAACAGATGCTACATCTAAAGTATCGACTTCAAGAAAGAATTGGTAGAAGAGTCAAGACTCCTGGTTTTATATTAGATATAACGCTATCCAATGTATTTCACATCGCATGATCGCGCCCTTCACCAGAGTGAATTTAGACAAGGTCCACTTTGTACAGACAAATCATTCAGCTAGCCATGATTTCGGAAGTTAAAAAGAGAAGGAAATTATGCAGCACATTACAAGACGAATGGTATAAAAAATGACATCACTAAGACAAACAAGGCAACAGTGGGGCTCCACAGTGACAATCAAGGCCGCAACCTTGGTCGCTTAGTTCATGGCAGAAAATTTTCTGGGTACATAAACACCGAGTTCTGTACCGGCTTCAAATTACAGCCAAAAAATCATGAACTTACTCGAAGTTTCGTAATTTTCCATCTTTGGACTCTCAAAGCCTAAACATCATGCCGTAAGATCGCGTACTTATTTGGTATTACAGAGAAAGATGAAGTAGGTCAGCCTAGTAGCGTAACGATGGAAAAAGAGTAAGAACCACTTACCGGCGGGGTGAATACTGGTAGCGCTTGAGAACTACTTAAAGAGAAGTCTCCCTTAATAGGGCATTCTGTCTTCCCACAGAGATCATCTCTCTCTGTATGCACCTTAAAACCGTAAAGAGATACAGTCACTACCACCGTTCCTCCTTTAAGCTCCTCACCTGCGGATTTGCACATGCGCGTCATAAGAAAAGTCAGTCACCCATATTTGGGGTAAAATGCTCATGCTCCTGAATAAGAGGTCACCCATTAACAAGTAACTCACCCAGCCATACTCAACCTTCAGTGATTAGGGAGGTGCCAGAAAACAGAAAGCTCTTCATCCCTCAGAATGTGGTTCTAAAATTCGGGCATTCTTTCGTGCCAACACAAAAGGCTGCTCAAAATTGTCCAACTGTCCACTGACCAAACGCCGTTCGATCAAAGCCAATTTTTCAGCACTGAAATTCCTACAGATGTTCTGCTTATCTCTTGAAGGATAAAAGTGAGGCACAATACCTTCTTACTGTTACACATGCTGCTTATAACAGACAGAGTCACGAGTGTTGTTGAACACTTACTTGCGTATGCAGGAATGGTGAAGGTAACAAGATCTCCGCTCACGACGGGCTCAGGATCAATCACGACATCCTTGATAGTGACCGGATAATTCTTCGAATCTGCACAATGGACATCTCATCTGAGTTAGGAGCTTCTCTGATACAAACCCTTGATATGTGCCGCATCACGGCCTACCATCTACCAAATGTTTACTCGGACTGCTCCAACTCCAGGCACATATAATCAACACCTGACAAATATGCAGAATGCAAATCTCCCATCCTACAAGTCAAACCTCGAGAGGTAGCACCTTCCTTTCAAGGCTCACAACTGAAGAATGCATTTTACGAGGCATCACGGCCACGCCCATGACATAAAACAAGCTCGTCCGGCGAAGTTCAAGACGTCAAGACTATTGATGATGGTCTACGCAATTAAAAGTTCCACACATGCTCCTCTGTAACATAAGGCATGTCTACTACGAGCCCCAATTTCGATTGAAAACGTTCCCCTGGCCAAATACTAAGATACACAAACAACAACCGAATCGATTTAGGCTACTAAAATCATATAATTGACTCCAGACTCAACATTATAGAGCCTCCTTCGACGCAACGAAGCCTCAACTCACCGCAGGGGCGGAAGTCACTTCCGACAGCGCTTGCTGCGCCTGCCGCAAGCAAAACTGCACCGAGGATCAGAGTCACCAAGTTCATGCTGGTCATGCTCACCGCCATTTCTCCGACGCTGGTTGTTGTGACGCCTCCCTCCTTCCTGTTTATACCCTCGTGCTGTTGCCACGCACTTTCCTTGGAGCACACTCACGAGCCCTTCGTCTACTAGAGCATTATCGATTCAGTCACGAGTGTACTTCGTTTCCACGCAACGGAAGCGATGCAGGTTGCCGGCGACTTTTGTCAGTTTGCCGGTCGAAACATGCACCCACGATTCCATTGTGCTCCGAATTTTGGACGTGTGTCCAGGACTGCAACCTCCGAATTTCGCCATTCTGACAAGTTTTGATGCTAAGGTTGAGCACTGACCCACTGAATTCCCTTTTCCGGATCGTCTACGCGTCTGTCGTTCGTTACATATCCTTTCGGACTGAATCTGAAATCAAGTCGGTTCGGGCATACTGTTTTGAGAGATGAGAAATTAAATCATCTTAAGAAAAAGACAAATGTTGTGATAGAAATACTTTTATGTCTCTTCATAGCTTGCATTTTTCATGAGAATATATATATATATATAAAAAGAGAGAGCAGTCCTACTCTACTGCTTCTTCCTATCGATTGATTTTCTGGCTCTTTTTTAAGTTGATGAATTTCCCAACGTTGAAGAATTTCAAAAATGGTTATGTGCACAATCTTGTGCATGCCGTGAGTGAATCATCTATGTCACTCTTACTCTCGCAGTAGATCATGCATCGTCAAAATAATTATGGTATTTTCAATATTTCTTCATTTGTGAAATAATAAGGAAATGTTAAATATACCACATTTTTTACTAAATACACCACACATCTATTTTATTAGTCACACCTCTCTAACAATTAAATCTCAATGAAAATTGAAGACATGGCCTAATGTTTCCCATATGATTGGCTCCTCCTCTCTTCAGTTTTGAGTGTTTCATACACAACTTCTATTATCCAGTTGTGTGAGTTTTTGTCTTAATCCCTCCACATATAGAACCCTCAACTTTGATCGGTGGAGGTGGTGCCCCATGAAGAGACAACAGGAGTGACACATTCCGAAATCCATTGTGTATTCGGGATAAATAGGTGTGCGACAACCAGGTGTGTGTGGTGTATTTAGTAAAAAGTGTCGTGTATTTAATAATTCCCTATAATAATGAAAAAATATAATTCTAGATAAATAATGATACTATATTTTGAAAGCGACGTGAATACAATTCAATGATATATTAAGGTTACGAAAAGAGTATTGTTCTTTACCAGGTCGAACATTGTAAATCGTTTTTCAGTATTTCTCTTTGATAAAAATAATATGAAAATCTGAGTGGAGTGTCATATCACATTCTCAGGCATTGATTATAATTACGATTTTTTTCATTCATTTACTGCTCCAATCTGGCTAGTGTACAATGCACTTTGAAACAATCTCTTGGCTAGCACAACATGTAATATGCGAGACATGCCGAATGTCGCGAGCGAGGTACGCATAAAGGTGGGTACAAATTAAGGTTCTCGTATCTTCTACATAAGCATGCGAGATGGAAAAGGTTGTCAGGTTTCAAGGGAAATTCAACACCGCACCAGATTATCATACAAACGATGAAAATGAGTAGATTTCCGTGGCGATAAGTTCAAGCTTCACAAGGCCGCCTTTGGGTAGTCTGCAGGATGTTCCTGGAAATCCTGACCAATATTCGGTGCTACCAAAAAAAGCATGGATGGAGAGCATGTGTAATTTATAGATTGTCATGATCCCGTTATGATGGTTCTCCTTGAGGAGTAATAATACTTGTTTTTATATTCTAGTTTGGATTCAAAGACGGGAGGAGCTTTTATGGTTGAGTTTTCTAGTGCAATATTGAAAGAAGTTCAAAACATATTAGCAAGTTATGAACTGCTAATGACGAGCGTATAGATGACTCTAGTTTTACATACAATCATGTACTTACCGTATTACTGTGGATCCTTACTTATCTTGTATTTAAAAAGAGTATAAGAATAGAACAGATTCTGGAAATTTTCTACAATCAACTTAATATCAAAACAGGTTAGGTAACTTGGTTTGTTAAGTTTAAGAATTATCATGTATATCATACATTTCACTAGAAGAAATAAATTTTTATGAGCGCAAATATTTTTTTAATTCCATACTGCAAATCTTCTTGTTTTACGATATATAAAAAAGAAAACAATTCTAAAGAGATTATCACTTCCTAACATACGATAGATTGAAATGGCTAGAAATGAAAATGATTGACAATTCTTCATGCATTTATAGAATATGTAACTATGCCATATATTATTGCAAATTGACATAAGGTGGAACCTTACAGTGATTCACTGAATATCATAGAGAACATATATGTATAGATATTCAAATTGTTTTATTATATCAAATTTCATACACTTTAAAATGGTGAACAAAAAATACAATGCTATAAATAGTCCAAAAAATATTATTAAAATTTATTCTTTAGAGCTTCTCATTTATGTTAAAAAAGAATATTTTCACAATTTTTCACGGATGAGTCGTAAAGCTAAAATCTGGAATAGGAAATGACAAGACACTTATGTAACGTGGTATATCCTTCCCTAAGGATTACGTTCAAGGAATCACAGCGAGTTTTATTAACTTAAACAGAAGTGGTAATGCAGATTTCCCTGGGGTTACAATTAGCAAAGACCGAGGTTACTATTTAACATGAGTTAACCTCGACAAATTCAATAACTATAACATGAACCCTAAAATGGGATTCTATCAGATTAAGACATAAGGCAATTATTTGGTAGACATTGTATTTATGATATCATATTAAACGTTGTGCCACAAAGCCACACATATCCATTTAGGTTGCATCTTTCATCTTGGTTTCCTCTTCATAGTTTAACATGCCGCGCAAAATACGTCACGTCAATCCACTTCGCATAGCAAAACCCCGCCTTTAGAATCTTGCCTTTTTCCCATGACCTGATGTTGGTATATATGCTGGACTCATCAGCCTTTCCTAGATGTTCATTGTTAATGTATCTGACGGTGGCTAGATTGAGATTCATACTCCCAAGTTAATATATATTTTCCAGGTAACGTACTGTCTGTTCAAAGTCCCTCATGAGCAGCGAAGCATCTTGATCTGCAAAAGGAGCCGGGGACCACCGGACTAGGAGTATAGACAAACAAAAGTACACAACGCCTGCGCGGGCCGAATCAGCCCAGGACAATCTGTGATTGATGTTGGGATGTGGGAACAAAACCCTGGGAAATCTACCGCATCCAAAGTTGCGGTAGATTATCCTACTATGTTTTATCTACCTACTATAGTATAGGTAGATAAACAGAGTAGGCCCCGGACTGTACGGATTGGTTCGTACAGTAGACGGGAAGAACCAAGTTGTCCACAAACTCAAGGCGGATTCGAACAGTCCCAAATTGTGGGACTCGGTTCTTCCACGCGACGTCCACGAAGAAGAAAACGAGGCACCTCTGGCCAATTGTCGGCAGGACCAACGATCGAGGAAATGTGCAAGAAATTGCTGCCCTGAGTGGGAGCCAGTTTCGACGTCTGTAGGCTCGGGCTCGCTGGAAAAGGTCGGCCCCATCACTCGTCAAGGTGTCGCTTGTGTTGACTCATACTATGACAGTGACTGGTTCGAGTGTAGTAAATGCTGCTGAAACTTTGATCTGTGAATTCCAGCGCTTTGTTACAAATTTCAGTACTGCGTGGTACATTTTTCATTTTTTGGCGGAGGAATTTATTGAATCTTAGAACAAAGTAAGTTACATGCTTCGCAGAGGTGGTGGAGTACGGGCTGCGACCTCGCGAGTTGATCATGCTGTTCTTTTCCTCTTTGTTTTAGAGCTTGAAACTATGGGGTGTTATCTGTTGCATTTGTTGTCTCGTTCAGGATTCTCTGGGTTAGGGATTGATGTTTCGATGCTATTTGTTTTTTCGTCATAGGAGGAAAGAATCAGACTGAAGGTATTGTCGAAATTGATTGGCTGATTGGAGCGCTTCTTATCGAGTGTACGTCTTCGTCTAACGTAAGGGTTGCCCTCTTTTCTCCCTCGATGGTTTTATCGTGGCCTGTGACGATGTTACTATAATAATTTGTACGCTGAAGCTCATCTTGGTGTTCATAGAGTCTGAATGAAGACCCTGTTGTGGCAAAGGAAGCGTGCCTTAATTGAGCAGCTCAAAGCATGCAGTCTTTGTAGACCGTGAGCAGAACTACCCGCTCTGGACATTGATAATCGGAAGCCCTGGTTTAGAAGAACAGTTACACAATATTGATTTGATAGTCTGCAACATTTTAAACCCAGCAACGTTACCTAGTAAATCTACTGGGTCATGAACCGTGCTCTTTGTGCCGAAGCTTCCGCCTATACTTCTCAATTGTCTGCTATTTGTCCACTTCTGAACGAATGTAGTAGGCGCTGAAGAACTCATAATAGTTGAAGTTGTTCGCTCACTTATCATTTCCAGAATTCGGTGAAGAGCCCTGTAGACCATCTGTTTAGTGTCTGGCTTGGAGATCACCTTGTCTACGAATATAGTTGGAAAAGAGAAGCACCAAGCAGAATATTGAGTACTTCGTTTACTGAATGTTTCGTTCTTCATCGTTAATATCTTGGACTTGAAGTCTCACACGATGGAACTCGAGGCTGTCATGTATTGAAAGGCTACTTGGTTTGTGAATGTACTGCACCGCAGGCCACCATGGCTTTGGGTCAAGCTGGATGGGCCGCTGTGGCATTTACAGGGCCTGGATTATTGGCTTTCATATTTGCTGTTGTGGCAGAAAACAAGAAGGTAATGCAACGTCATCAATTTAGCTGTGACCTTGGCCGCGATTCTTCTTCGGTGCCATTCACTGTGTGAGCAAGTTTTTTAATAATCTTAATTGGCATAGATCCACATCAAGGATAAAATCTCTTCGATTGGTTGACATTGTTTGTCTAGTTTGCACTTCCCTACTCTACTATTGCTGATTGCTACCACCGTAGTTTAAGATTTGGTCTCGGTAGCTAGTTTATACTTCCATGTATGGTATTGAAGGTCTTCTTACCTTGGATCTGCAATAATTAGAGCTTAATAGTCATATCAAATCATTTGCAAGCATCAGGCTTAACCTTGTGATATTCTCCTATCTTAACTACCCATCGCAGCCAACAGATGATATGGCGGAGATGAATTACGTCAATGGTGTAACCACTTGCAATTATCCTTCTGATCCAACGGTTGCTCTTGGGAGTTTGGCTGTCGTCTTTCTGTTCATATCAGCGATTTTGGCAACAGTATCTTTTTACTTTCCGTACAATAAGAAGGCAGTTTCTAAATCCATTCTTTGGCGGAGTACGAGCCTCGTGGTCTTCACTCTTTTATCTTTGTATGTACACCTCTACTTCTCTTCCTTTTCATTTCAGTTTCTATTCAGCTCTCTCTAGTTTTGATTTCGAAAATTTGATGACAACACTCTAGATTCTATGCAATCTAGAGGACCGTCGCTATGTGGACTGTACTGCAAAGAGAATGTTTTGCTGGTTGTTTTAGTATTGGTTGTTACGTCATTTCCTGTATCATTTAACGGGCTTCAAATGGCCTTTCTTTGTAGCCCATTAGAGCTCAGATGCCTGTTTACCTTTCAGACCAGACCAGAATCGATGTTGAATTATGACGTATGTTTAACGTGATTTTAATCGTGCACATAAGAGGGAGCACATGGTCTGCACAATGAACATTATTTTGTTATCTTTTTAATTTTTTCATATTATTACCTGGGTTGTAACCGCCTGGAGGGAAACTTGATACATTTTTGGCATATATACATTGTGCAGCATGATATTCATGGTCGCTGAAGGACTGTTGTTATGGGCTATCCTTGTTGAAAACGACCACCGAAAAAACAACGTCCATGTTGGTGAAATCAAGGCTTGTCCAACTGCCAAAGCCGGTCTATTTGGTGGAGCTGGCTTCTTAGCATTGGATGCGACTTTGTTCTTTCTCATCGCCTTAATGCTGACAATGAACTCTAGAAGCGACTATCTGGACGGCGACGCCGATGATAGAGGCACATACGGCGAAGTAACGACAGATTATCCACCAGCTGTTGTTACACATCAGAGCGACAGGGTTTAAATGCACCACGAGCTGCAGAATAAGTTTCCAAGCTAACTTCGATTGTAGTCGAGTCGCATCCCAAGCATGTTGTAACCATGTTCCTTTAGCGGACAAGCTTCAAAAGAAGATACATTTACAAGTAAGAAAAATTGAAGATTTTCTTCACCAATAAAGAGAAATGAGAAATTTACTACAAGAAGTTTTGAACGAAAGGGATTGACGTGTTCAATTTACACTTACTCTATTGGTTATGAACAGAGCTCAGTACCAAGTGCGCAAAGAAGTTCGCTAAATTTGGCATAATGTAAATCACATCCTTTTCGGCTTAATTTAGATAGTCGATTGTCTTTCTATTCAGAAAATGTCCCCGTTGATTACGTATCGGCTGACAACCAGATGTAACTAAAGTATGATGAATAATGTCCCAATGTATACACGAGGGGGTGCTTAAGAAATAATTTTGCTCTTTTGGAGTGTACACTGCAGGATGACAGACTGGGGAACGCAAAGTGCGACTTGCAAATTTTAGAAACAACACGGTTTCAAGATGTGAGACAAGGAATTTTAACTATGTTGAGTCAAAAAACAGAACTCTGAAGAGGTAGCTGTAAACTGTATTTCACACAACAGTGGCAAGAATCTAGCAACTGTTCTACTTCAAGAATGGTAGATAATCTGCAGCCACAATAATGAGAGAGCAAATGAAACGAACTTTGAAGACTTGTGGCTAGAATCCTTCTTTTGTTTATTCATCGCGTGTGACTTTGCACAGCGTCCAGTGCAGAGCGAATAAAGTGCGAGCAGACCCGTGTTGGGTGCGATAGATAATAAGACTCATGACCTAAGTACTGGGTGAACTGACTACTGATTCTGTACATCGAGGATATTCATCCCCGTCCTCTTTCCAAATTGATTGTTCTAATTCAGCAGGAGGGAATTGCGTAGTTGAAACACAAGTATCAACACTCACTACTTGTTTTTGAGGAAGTGCTTGCGTAGCTGGAAGGCTCCACCAAGAACCGAAGAAACTACGAGGATAGTGTTGAAACGACGGGCAAAATCGGCCATCCTTCCGACAGTTATCATCACAAAGCGCTTAATGGTATTTCTTCTCTTATGCTCCTTCTTAACGAAGGCCGGAGAAGCCTCTTGCAATCTCCTCGCAAAAATGAGGCAAGAGACTCTACTCTTCAAGCCCCTCTTCACTTGCGGCTTCTTCTTCTTCTCGGAGAAAGACCTCTGCTGCTGCTGTGGGGCGTGATTGTCCATGTCCATCATGCATTTCTGTTTCGCCTGCCGGGGCAGCCTGTTGAACCACTTCATGCTCAGAGTAGCATGACACACCTCTACCTTGGAAGAACAAGCCATGTCTTTCGTCGTTTCCTCTCCAGCAGCAATCATTCCCTTCGTCATTTCCGAGCTTTGGACAGTGAATATGTTGTCGATGTAACTCAGCAGGCTGTGCTCCTTGACAGCCTCCAGAGATGAAATACCAAAATGGAAATTCAAGTGATGTTCCGCTGTCCAGCGGTTTACATCAGCATATTCCAATTTACTAGTCTCAGTGTCGAGGAGCACCATGTGGCCAGCGAAAGCGTATCCATAACCAGATTGGTGAGAGAGTACTAAAGCTAACGCTCGATGAATCACGAACTGAAGAATCCCTGGAATCCACTTCAGAGCTTGAGAACCCAGAGCCAGCAAGGGGATGCGTTCGGGTTTCATGCGCAGGCGAGGGTTCACCACCTGAACAACGAGAAACACAACACGAGAGATGGACACAAGGTCACCCCATGGCCCAACATGCAGACCGTACCAGACAGAGTAGAGTGTGTATGCCAATGGCATCAGCTTGGGCACGATGTCATTCCGAGAGACGATGTGCACGAAGTGATGCCTGTAGCGCTTGTTGATGTACCGAGCGAGCTCGTTATCTGCGAAAAACGGGCAACCGAAAGTGTAGCACTGGACCTGCTCATGGCACCACTTGCCTGTGGCCTCCAATAACCGCAGAGCTAGCAACGAGGCTACAGCGCCTCCGAGCGAGTGCCCTGTGAGTACAATTCGCTCGTTTCTCACCAGAAGCCTGCGGAAGTATTCCAGAGGAATGGTCTTGGCACGATCCAAAAATCCTGCATGCGCAGATCCCACGGCAAGACTCATCGTTCTGTGGATAAAATTGAGATCTGTCAGAGCATCGTAGACGTCTGTAGTTCCTCGGCAAGCCACTATTAAATGGCCTCCTGTCAAACTTCGGACGACAATCATAGTCTGCTTGCAGCTTCCGAAGCCATTGCTGTCCAGCTCTTCGTCGGATATGAATTCATACTTCGCTGATGGAGGTAAACCATACTCTCGATCCATCACCTTCAGCTCCTCGGCAGGATCCTTGGCATACACCACTGCTGACAAAATGACAGCATCCACCAACCACAGCGGATGCCTGTCATCTTTGATAATCTTCCCCAAACTCGCCATTTCGCCGATGCCTCCACTCCAAATCGGCCAATATATAATTACTCAATTTCCATAGTCATAAACCAGATCAAATTCCGCAGCCTAACGCTGAACTGCTCCTCAATTCCTAGCACCTCATCCTGCTCGGGCTCCTCCTCCACCTCGTAGCTGCAATCACACCTCCAGCATCTCTCTCTCTCTCTCTCTCTCTCTCTCTCTCTTCTCACAACAATCCCCGCCGAGAAAGCTCGGCGGTGCGGCAGTGCAAACACTTGTCGTATTGAAAGTCAAACCTTATCATCCTTCCCCAGGGCCACAGAATCTCAGTTCGCAAACTGCTCATAATCGAATCGTCTTCTGAAACCCAGATCTCACTTTTTTCTTCCGAACACGGCCTACAAAAATTCGCACTTCAAGATTCTATTCCGCAGCCTGTCCATGAGCTCCTTGTCTCAAACATCAATCAATATGCGGAAAGAAATCTGAGTTGCCGAGCACTATAATCTGCCCACTCGTCCTCCTCAACGGTATCTGAATCAGATCAAAATATAATATAGCGAGCGCGGCCCTATATCCAGCCCCCTCTTGTTTGTCCCAAGAGGGTGCAAACTGTCACAACGCGCGGAGTCGTCTCCACACAAACGCCCAGCGAGTGCCACCTCTCACCATGTTCTTGAGCTGCGCACTCGAGCGTCGGGCCGATGTGTTCCGCCGCGCCTCCTTCGCCGTGAATCTGAACGTAGACGCACAAGTTACAGTGAGACACATCCCCCACCAGCAAGCGCACTGCCACGTTCTCCACTTTGGGGTGCCCTTTTGTCATCGCCACCCGCCACGTGCCTCTCGCGTGGGCCCATGCAAAGCGTCGCCTACCCGTTGTTCCCTCGTTGCCAGCGTGCCAATCTGCTCTCGGTGCCAATTTCCGAACAGTCTTCGCGGCAGAAGAATGGTTCCGGCCGCACGTGAATTGCCGTTTTTCGATGTCCTGACGTTTCATGCGCTTTTCTCTCATGTCTTGGAGCGCGACGCATGTGTCCAATCGAATTGCCGAACCTGATGTGGAATGTCGTCTAACTTGTCTCTGCTCTTTAGATTGATAAGTTTCAATTCAATAATTGAATGGATTGGAGAGGAAACCGAGAAATATAATAAAAAGGATGGCAGGACATAGCACTAGACAAGGTTATTAAAGTGTACTTATTATTATTATTATTACTTTGCACTTAACACATGTTGTCATTTTATTCCAACTGCTGCACCAAGTCAACCAAAATATAAACTAGAAGATGAGCTCAGTCATTCTACATCTACTGCTCATGGGAGATATTTAATTCAACAATAACTTGGAAAATAATTGGTACACTATATTCAGCTCAAAGATAATTACTTATCTTTGAGTCTTCCCAGGTTACATATTTTAATCCTCCCACTATAGCGCACTTACTATATACTATTTTCCTCACTATTCCCTCCGCAAGCGCTCTACTGCAACACACCAAGCCTTTGGCGGCTTGAGATGTCAAGTCCCAACACAGCATGAGAGAAAGGTCTCCTTCATTGAGATACTTAAGTCCACTGCACTCCCTAGTTTTATACGAGGACATCGATCTACACTGTTCTCTAACTTTTTCATCTCTAAATCGAGTTTAATTTTCTATTTGTACCTACAAAGTAAAGTTCACTCCATACCTCAGTTAAAGTTCTGGCTGGGCACACCTCGGGCAACATTTGTGTAATTTGACTCGGGACCTAGCTCTTTCCTTAATGGCAATAAAGGGAATCTAATGACGGTAGATTTATAAATATAAATCTAGGGTAATATTCTGTGGAAATAATCAAGGTATGTATGGTTGCCAATTTTTCCATCGTTTACTGCTTTCGTATTAGAATGGGTATAGTGTTGGAATGGGTATCTTCGGATTTTATCTGCCTTACTGTAATTTGGCCATTGGATTGATCATATTGATCATTTTGGATTGAGTCTCCACATGAAAGAACTCTGGCCTCCGGTTTCATTTACCAAAGTCAAATATCTACCTCCAACTTCGCATTTGATCCAGACTCAAAGCTATTTTTATGATGAGATTCAAGTGCAGACTAAATGACATTTGAGACAAATTTGTGGTAACATCATTCTTATGCAGAACACATCTAGAAACTTTGCGATGACGATTACTGCGTATATCTTCAGCCACAAATTACCATGGTAATGGACAACGATGTGATCGGATAACCAAACAGATGAAGAATGTACTTCATATAGATCTTGACCCGTATTTTAAACTGGAGTCAATGAAAATTTATTATTAATAAAGACCTATTCATACTCCCGTGAAATTTGTAAAAATATTACCACAATTGGTTAAAAATGATACATACTCCTAGAGTTGTTGTTGGGACCACTTCTTCCTCAACATTCGCGTGACCAGTACTTTTGTTGGGAAAAATGATATATTATAGGAATGCGCACGTTTACATCTAGTTTCTGTTATTTCGTTTGGACTTTCTTCACTAACTTACAGATTTGCAAGTTGTTGGTATTTCAAACTTGGTCCTTTTGTCTCCTTTTAGGTTCACTAGGCGCGTCTGCTCTCACTGTTCTTCAAGGAGTCCTATCTCCAATTATCAGGCGATGCAGCTTCAACAAAGCTACTTAACATTTCAAAATAGTCTGTTGAAAGTGTCAATGCTCTTTATGAACATGAAATGGATAGCATTGTTAATCCTCCAGTGGAGACTTTCCATGGGTCTCTTGGTTGGTGATATGAATAATTTGCGTTGCAGGTAGGAAAGAATCCAAAGGGTCGGATATTATAACAGAATTAGGCCATTCTTGCTTGCTCACTTGGGAAGCTGAGTGTACAGTTGTTCAGAGACATGTGACCAAGCTTCGCTGGTCCAAAAGAATATTATTCTGAACAATGATGTGTGATACAATGGTTCGACCATATTCATATATCCGTGTAATTCAGAAAGGGTTTATTTGTTTCACTGATGATTGTATTAACCAAACACAAACTTTCTCACCCAATCAAACCTTTGAGATCTATCATGTGATAGGGAGCCTTTTCGAAGGTTAGATTTCGATTGGTCAGGTCGTGTGGCTTTCATAGCCGTAGCTTTTCGTACAAAAGGCCCTGTATTTGCAGCATGATCTTCGAGCTGAGCATGCCTGCTTCAGCTACACCATGAATGACGGTTGTCCTGTGAGGCCGTATAAATTGTAGGAAGCAATTATGTCTGGTCTCTTACAATATGCTCGTTCGCGTAAGCATAGGAAAGAATAACAAACGGTTTTTCATCTGGGAAAATGCTATTGACATCTTGTGTGACTTTGGTCACTCTTGATTAATGAAAAAATTGGTGTACATAATGTAATGTTCTGAGATGTGATGTAACAATCGTCAAATATACTGGCCCTTTTTGAAAAAAATTCTTTTCAAGCTTCTGCTTTGATATAATTTTGTGGATTCTAAGACCTAGTTTAACAGCTTGCTGTGGACATCATCGAATCTGTAGATACAGCCGCAGCAACTTTTCATTGCTTTGGTTTTTGTGTCGGATAGCACCTGCAAGGAAATGACAAAGATATATCAAAACCAGTGATCCCATGGCGAAGTGACTCAGATTAACTCGAGCTTTTTAAAAGCTTTACACAAATGTCACGGCACAAACAAGATTCCTCGTACCTATACTGGTGGGCAGTTCTCTTTCCCAGCTGTAAAGTCGGGCACGATGGGGAGCAGAGGACCCGAGGGCATTGGCCTCGGATCTTGGCATAGAACCTCCATTTGCCGAATCTGCCATAAATTACTTTCCTGTGCAAGGTTTTCTGGAACATTTAGCGACCTTGGCAAAAAAGTTAATTAGCTCCTACAGAATATTCAAACATGCGTCGGAGCTCTACCTCCGAACAGAACCAGAGATCTGACGTGAATAAATTGGTTCAAAAGACTGCAATTCAAAGAAGAAATTACTTACAAGTTTGGCAGCCTCCATGCAAAGCACACCGTCCATATTAGTGAACAAAGCACGCCATTTATCTTCTGCAGACTCTACTCTTGTATGTTCACTAGCCCACGTGATGTAGTCAGCTGGATCTTGTATAGCTCTCATCGTTTCCGCTGGATAAGATCCCTCTGCTCCGACATTGCCGAAGGAAGCTATTGCTTTCGTTTTCCCAAATTGCCCTGAAACGAGGAGTGCGCGAACCCTCCTTCTGCTTCGTTTCAGGGCTATGAACCCAAAAAATCCAGTGTTAGCCTGTGATAATTAAACCTTTGAAACATGCCTGCTGTAAGTGGGATGGAAAACGAACGACTTCTTACAAAATCTTGCAGGCTTCATCAGTTAACAGCCAAAGCTTCAAGTCAAGTAATCGTTTGAGTACAGCAGCTTTTGATTCAACACATTAAGTACCTGAGAGACGACCTTTGATATCGAGAGTGAGAAGTCCCAGCCATTGAGCCGCAAATCCGGCAACTGAGAGTCAAGCAGAGAAACAAAGAAACATAGTTAACGCGAGACTGTGCACACTGAAGGACCTGAACATGGAATGAGATAGTTGTACAGAGGTACATCGAAGTGCCCAATACTAGCATTTGTTGACAGTAAATTACCTGCAGTAGAGCATGCAGCTGGAGGATTGGTAGAGGCTTTGGCACTTCGGGCGTTGTTCTCGTCCATGGAAACAGACTCCTGGAGGTGGGTGTCAAGATGCTCTGGCTTCGAAGTGAAAAATTCATACGGCCCACCGTCATTTCTTCGGTCTAAAGATCCCGTAGGCGGCTGCGAATCCTCTGCCCTTGTATGAAGCACAGACTGGCCTTCTCTTGGGCGTCTATCCAGTATCAATCCTTTTGATCTTCGTGAAATTTCGTCACGGACTTCGCCCGAGTGAATAGAGAATTTTCCATCACTTTCTTCCACGCCATGAGATACATTTTGAACCAAATTCAATCTATTTGAATCTTCTGAGAGTCTACTACAACAGACAGTATCCTTTTCAGCTATGCTTTCTTGTACTCCTAGATGTGGCTTGAAGTCGATTGGTTCGGGTTTAAAAGTAGTGCCACCTCCGGAAGTACATCTTGCATCCTTCAATCTCACGTCTAGAACTTCACTGGAGTTTCTGGAGACTTCATTGGCTACTTTGGAAGTTGCTACTCCGACAAGAGCTCCAAGAACGGCATGAATCTGTTGACTATTTCTCACCCTTTGGATAATACCGGGATTGAAGTCACCCAAGAATCCACTGGGTTCTGAAAGGCGCTTAAATTTTCCAGCCATGCTCATACTCCGCTTGACTTTCAGACTCTCTCGCTGGGCCTTTTTCTGGCCCCTTCTCTGTCGGATGTTCTTTGTATCAGCTGCTCCACGAGGAAAGCAACTGGAATGGCTATTGTATTCGGCACCTGACACCATGCGCTCATCCCTGCCACTCAGTGAGGAATTGGCATCCACGTAATTTGAGAAGTTTCCCACACTTTGAGCCAGCAATTTCGTTCTGGGTCCCACTGCATGAAACTTTCTCGGTCCTGTACCCATCCTAGATTTCCTCCCAATTCCCATTCTACACGATCCTTCTCCAGTGCTTGCACTAACAGAAGGATTATCAGTTGGATGATCGGTTGATGCCTCACCAGGTTCGGACCAATCTTTCGATAGTATCAACTTAGCTGGGTGACTGTCTTGGAAATGAGAGGCAACAAGAGGCACATTTCTGCGCCTTCTCTTCCCAGTTGTCGCAGATGCTTTTGCTTTCAAGCCACCAACCTCTGATCTGTTGGCTTCTAAGGCTTCCGGCAGCTGACTTCGTGATCCAGACATATTTGTCTCCGATAAAACAGCCTGACATCCGGTCCAAGAAAGCTTTGTACAGCCGTCAGCAACTCGTACTACTCTGACCATGTCATGAACAGCATCCGGGGGTCCCTCTAATTGCGCGACAGTGACTGCATCCGAAAGTGCTAGAGAATCATCGTCAACGACGACTTCAGTGTGTACAGAACTGGATCTCCCTTGTTCTGATGAGTCACCAAGTCGGAGTAATAATTCTCCATCATCACATCCACTGAGATTCCTTGAGTAGAGAATTTGCCGACCTTCATTATGGCAAGTGTTCTGTTCCAGTCTAAAGCCTTCTAAATCCCTCTGATCTGGAAGCGCTTGCTCTTGAGCACTAGCATTGTCTGAGCTGCCCCACCATGATTTTGTACACGGTTGAATTTTCCTATATTGTCTCTCAGTTGTGCTGCGCTTGTTTTTGTGAACTGGATCCTCAAACTTCCGGAAAGCTGACTCCGAGCAGTTGGAAATAACCAGCGGAGGATTCCCATTATCCTTCTGGTCTGCAGCTAAATCATCTATTGCCGACACTTCCCCTCGCTTACCGACGAAATGAAATGCTGAAACATGGTCCAGAGTCTTCCGCCTCTTCGCTTTACACACTTGCGGGGCAGACTCTGGGATCTGTTGCACCTCGACAAGCTCCGAGAGACCGACATCGACTTCCATCGGGGAAGCTCGCATGCCCCTCTCTGTGTTTATGGCCAGGCTCTGATTAAGTCTGCCCACAATTTGCACTGGCTGTATGAGAGATGGTCGAATATCGTGAGCAATGATCAGACTTGGCTCGTGAAAAACTCGTAAACTGCTACTGCTTTCGCTTCTGTGAACTCCTCCCTCTTTCTGACTTTGCTTGTATCTCTCCGCCTAAAGCAGACAAGACTCTACGCGTTAGTTTGACCTCAAAAGCTCTTACTATGTCACCTCTTTATAGGCCTGGTGACATTCCGGCAAGTTTCCCGTTAGAAAATCGTATTCAAATCTTTCTAACGAACTAGTGAATTCATTGCAGTAGTCTCAACTACGGCTAGCTCCAGGTTCCGACAGATATGGCGTCCACATGTCGAGCGGCAATTGGTAACGGAATACTTCGTGCTCGTGAAGCAAATTATATTCGGGTGTATCAAGTACATCGCTTACCGAAGGTACTGCATTCGGCAGGGAATTGGTTCTTGCATCGAGGCAGACTGCGTTAAATTCCTTCTCCGAATCATTCACGTGAGTTTCGTGTTGGAAGTCTTTGAAGGCCTCGGTATGCCTGTCGCTGATGGCACGAGGCAGTGATAGCCCAATTTCCGCATCTGGCTCGATTGTAACTCCTGTAAGATCGCTCCATCCAGTAGCCTCGCTAGCATAAATTTCTTCTTCATCACCGTCGATCTCTTGGTTCTGCACATGGACAGATTCCAGCTTTGCTCTGTAATTCACCAAATTTTGTCCACGAATACACACCGACTGCGCAAAGCGTTCATGGCATCAAGGCATCTGAGATAACGACTCTAGCTAGTTGAGGACATCAGCAACAGCATCAGGGTCGGGGATGAAGAAGAGAGCACGCTCCATATTTGCTAGGAGCACTCGTGATGGTATAGTCGCTCAGTTGAAATGGCAGAATTGCATGGTTGAGATTCTTCCCATGTCCAGCGAACAATGGGCTCGATTAGTTAATTGAATAAGACGTCTGAGTTGCTCGAGAAGAAACGAAATCAGAGCAATGCCAATTTCGAAAGCAGATGCATGGAAGGGAACAGATTCCGGAACTACCTTACGCGACAAGTTCATCCTTGATCTGGGTTTGCAAAGAAAGGCTTTTGAATCGGAATCTGCGTGAGTGTCTGAATCTTCGTACGCATCTTCGTGAGTGGGAGGAGTTGGTGATCTCCGACGTCTGATTTGCTCCATGCTGGAACAGATAATTGGATCGTCTGTGGTATGTTCCGAGTCCTCTTCATCAAGTTTTATATTTTCAGATTTTTCTTCCTGCGAAGCGGAGACAGTGGTATGTCAACTATCTTTGAGCGTTTCCAACAACCCTCGTGGATGAAACACGTGACTTCTTGAGTAGTCAAGATTGAAAATTGGAACATAAGCTCTAGAGCAAGAGTGTAGAAGCAACACAATTAGAGAGAACGAATAATTGACTGCGAACGTGTCTCACTGACAGCTGACCGTGACTTTGAATGTCCAATTCACTCACCCATATCTCTTGAGCTGCATCGGAATTACATGGAAAGCGCGTTCCCTCGGAGAAAGATTCTTCCGAGAATTTTCGAGACGCGGGGACTTCTCCGGCCCGATAGTGGGAGATTCTTTGATTCAGGTCTGACTTTATCGATTGTGTCTGGCATGAAATTTCTGAGGGATGGCTCTGCTGCTCTTCCGCCTCGACTAATCCCGATTCAAGGACCATTAAAAGCAAATCCATTCCTCCCCTCTGCAATTGATCCGTAGAACCAAGGGAGCCGGCATTAACAGCATGCTGAATTACGCCTCCAGTCTTCAGCCTGCTTCGCTTCTTCCCGTAGCTTCTTGAAATTCGCGAGTTCATAATAGCTGTGATTGGAAAGATGTTAGTTGACGTGGGTTGTTGGCTCTCAAGAAAGAACCGAGGATCTCTGTCACACACAAATCTACTGACTCATGGAAATAAATCAGTTCTCATGAAAATGGTGGGAAATTACTGAGCTTATTGTTGTCTACAGGTACATTCAGTCAGAGGATGCTGGAAGAGAGCATGAATGACCTTTTGGGCTGCTACTCTTTTGATTCGTCCCTCTGATATGGGTTTTTCCTGGACGTAAAGGGAAAAGGCCATCGCTGTTTTCCTTACATTCGTTCAAAAGTGTCAGTCTTGGGGTGGATCCAGAATTAACTCGTTCCCGAAGCCGTCGAGTCTCTTTTAACTTCGCTACCTGTACAGAACAAAAGAATATTCAAATTTCATCCATGGAATTGCCGCCTCCCAAGACTTGAATTGAAGATGCATCTCGGCTCATTCAGCAAATTAGTGACGAAATCGGCCGCACTTCATTTTGAATGATACGTCGCATGTAGTGCAAAGATCAACTTGCGAGAATGGCGGCAATTTACAAAATTCAGGCACTCCATGCAATGGCGATGATCGAACCTTTTTTGGTGAGTCACGCTCTTCAAGACGCCTTCCCAGGGAAGGCCTGTTCGCGTGAAAACTGGCCAGAGGTTTCATGCGATCTCCATGCACGCCATCTTCATCCTCGTCTCGTCTGAGCTCTCTTTCTTCATCGCCTTCATCCAAATCCTTCCTATTCTCATTCTCTAGAGCTGGATCCACGTAAACAGCGACCCGGTGGCTGCAACCATCAGCTGCACCCCCTCCTCTCACCTGCGGCTGCTGCTGCGGCTGCTGCTGCCGCCTCCGGAATTTCTCACTACTCAGACTCACTGGCCCACTGCTGTTGCTCTTCAGACTCTGAACCGAATCCGAAGGCTTTTGACTCCGCCATTCGAATCTGGGACCACCACCATCGCTCTCGAAACACGTCTCCATTGGAGCTAACGGGCGATCGCGCCTCCCTCGCTCGCTCGGCCTTTTTCAAACCGACGAGCCCACGATCGACAGCTTCATGCCGAGGGGACCGATCGATCGTTTCGGCCGTGGACACTCACCGGCTCCACGGCTTGGGCAGAGCGAAACTGAGGAATTGCAGCAACGGATATTTAATGGGCAGCCCGTGCACGGACGAGTCCATCCGTCCATCCGTCCACGCCTTCGATTCCTCGTCGACGTGCGGAGATTTGTTTTTTCCTCCCAGAGGTCGCTAATTGAAAATTTGTCCGCTTCTTTTCAAATGAGTCCATTCAAAACTCGGTCCTCATTTCAAATCTTCTTTCCCGACGGGCAGACTCGCCCGGTTTCAAAGTGGCCACTCTTCACTGCTGGCCCAGCGTTTCACACTACGCTGTACTTTCAAATCGCTCTCCTCCCGCCACGCCATCAACGGTCACTTCTCTCTATAGTTGGCCCCGAGTCCAGTGAGAGATGTCTCCAAGTTGCCGCTACTGTTGTAACTGAGTCTTTTGTCGCCGTGCTGGTTTCCCGCAAGCCGAATGCAAGAGACCGAATATTCTGGTTCGAGTTCCTGCGTTGGAGACTCCGACGACGGATCCCTTTGCTTCCACCTCAGTTCAGGGAAATGAACTCATTGTAGTGTGAGAAGGGATCTGGGGTAAAACGATAAATATATCAAAAAGTATGGGAATGACCCCATGAAGTAATATAGTATGAAACCAAACGGGTACATGTGGCTAATCCCTGTAGCCCCTATATATTTGATAACTATCTAAGTCAAACTCTCTAGGTAGCTGAAGACCATTCCAATACGCATCATCAAGCATGCCCATCTTATTAACTATTGCATCTGCAAAAGCGAAGGATGAACTCAGCCTGAAATAATCCCTTGAATGTGCTCAAAGTATTGATTCTTATGCCATCTAGTATTTCAATTAATCGCTTTCAAATTTAATGTACATACCTTCATATTTAATTCCAGTACTAGATGCACCAAAAAATTGAAGTTTTTGCTTAAAGAGCTTGGCCATTGCTTGTCCAGGATTATGGTTTTGGTACCCTAAAGAATGTTCGTAATATGTAATGGTATGTAACCCAAGGAAATTACTTGATGGGACCACTTGGAAATTTAATACTCTTGAAGGGACCCAACAGGTTTCAATTCGACGGCCATGGCCAGCCATGTTCTTATAACCTACTGATTTGCTGTATAGAGTGGGGAGTGTCCGCCACATTTTGGCGACTCCTTTGCAGCCATGTCTAAGAAAACAACTACAGTAGCACCATGAGTCTGAACCGTGACTTCATCTTTCTAATCGAAATAACCCCAGGTAGTACTGGAAAATCACTGACGGTGGGGCTGCAGAGCCATCGATGGGATACCATCGATTAAATGAAAACTGTTGGATCCCATTAAGTGTTTTGAGTTTCCCGGGTCCCATCAAGTAATTTCCTGTATGTAACCACAAAGTAGAATGCAAGTTCCAAGAGCTCCTCCGATACCATACTAAAGACTGATGTGATTTGCTTAATGCATACATAAAGCCAATAGGTTAAGTATTGTCTCTTCCCCTTATTAACAACTGCTCATATTGATGTCCCATGCAAGCATATCATATCAGACTAAAATGTCTACAGGAAAATAGAGACGGATAATCCTGCCAAGTTGGAATTTCATCTCTTGAAAATGGTTATTGAGATCACGATGACAGGTGGAACCAATACTTTTAAGCATGCATCATTGTTTCAGTAAAAGCATAAAACAAACCATGTTAGAATTATAATATTTGAAATCTACTAAGAACAATTATTTAACTTATTGATAATTTGAATGTAAGATAGAATCTAGATCTTCAATCCAATCGGTGACTGAGAGGAAAACCGTTGTAATCCAAGTTGTATCTTGAAGACAAAGTGAATTTCAACAACAGTCATATGATATAATTGATACTCATCCACATTTGAAACAGACATACTTACGATGAATATATCTGCATTTTAAGATCTAAAATTTTTCAATATGCTAGATAATATATGCCGGCATGTTTAGTCCAATGGGGTGCCTAAACTACCTAGTCGCAAACCAGTATACTTTTGTTCAGGCTTAGTTTAGACGGTGTGTACATGTGAACCTTATTTAGCATTTACAATGTAAATCAGCGCTCAAATTGTTCAATGAACATCTACTACAGCACGTACTCCTAACATCATTCTTAAATCCTCCCAAATGTCCAATTCAACCATGTGAGACAAACCCCATATAAACACCACCAGTCATACCAATCCGCAACAGGTTAAATTCATAACTGAAACGTGGACTTTGCTGTGAAGAGCAAACGTAGTACGGTTCAATAACTCAACTTCGTAAGATTCAAGAAGAGCGTTGTTGGTTTCAGAAGGTTTTATTAGAGCTGGAAAAGTGCTGCACCTTGAGTTGTGATCTAGGCATTGATGAAGTACAAATGCTTTCTACATCCGCACCCTTGTTGTGAACTGCTACAGAAGACTTAAGTCTGATGCTGCGTGAAAGTGAGCAAAGTGAGCACTGGGTCATCACACAAAGAAGGGAACGAGCTGTTCAAGCTGGAAGAGCTTGTGCAAGCAATGCAGCCCGGAAGAAAATTCATTAGCTTCTTCAACAGCTACAGCAAGGTGTAGTTAGAAAACGTACTCTTTGAAAAACTTTGAGCATCTCAATTCCTGGAGATTGGGAGTGTGGAAACATCCATAAAATTGAAGGTGGTCGAGATGACTAAGCCATCTCCAGTACATAAAGGAAGAAACATCTAACGCAACATGTCATGCTTCGGGAAATTGCTTCGAAGGATCAAAACGTTACTTGAACGAGCCAAAACCGTGTATTCCGTTATGGAGTCCATTGCAATATAGAGAGGAGGAGTTGTTCTAGTGCTAAAATAACTGGAACTAGTCTCGCAATCCAAGGTGTAGATTTCTGTGTTATCTTAAATATATATCGCAGTTACATATTACAAAAAATTATGACCTTGTTATAGGATATGACCAGTATGCTACTGTTTAAATTCATTTTAAATCAGTCTAAAACTCTGAATATCCTGACCTAGCAATCTCACCAAGAAAGAGGCTTCAATCGGAAAAGACCTACATCAGCATGCTTCATACTCAAAGAAAAGTCATTTGCATACTACATAACGCCTCACACTCATAACTGAAGGTTAGAATAAGTAGGCGCGTCCGTGTAATCTAGTTTAGGCGCTGCGGGATACAAAGTCAAACATTAACCAGGCCAAAATATATGTGATCTCTTATACCGATAAACCTTTCTTCTATTGGTTACAAAATTTAAGAAGGATTTTTTAATGAAAAATATTACAAATCAAAAAAGATGTGTATAACTTCATCTGTAATTCATAATAGTCAGTTTTTGAGGTTTTTGAATTTTCAGTAAGAAAGATGTCATTGTACTGTTATCAAAATGTATCCAGTCCGAAGTGCTGCAATGGACACTCAAATTTTGTAAATTAGGCAATTATTTCTATAAATCTAGCATATTTATTCAAATAACAACAACTTTGAGATTTTTTGGTAGTAAAAAAATACCCATGTGACAAATGAATGGTCTAAACAGAAAAAAAAACTCTTCAAATCATATTAGCACTCTGAGATCAGTTAATTTTAAAATAAATGTCATATCCTCCCTGGAACAAAAAAAAAATAGAGAAGAATTGTTGATGTAGAATAATATGTTAAATTTGATAGCTTTAAGCAAAAAATTGAAAATAAAATTTATTGTTCATTGAGATGTATGTTGAATATATATACAAAATATAAAAAAAGATTTTTCATTATTGAACTATTTCTTGGAAACTTTATTTTGAAAAATATTCCAATTATAATAATTATTACGATTTTAAAGTTATGCTTGCCATAGAAACTTAACAAGATATTTATTTATAGGATTGTGAATTGTAGCAAATAGTTATAAATCTTCCAATAAAAACTTTATTTTTTAATACTGAAAATTATGCACATGCAATCATTTGATTGACGTGTCAAAATTTAAGGCAATAAGGCAATTAAAATAAAGAAATCAGAATAAAGTGCTTATATAAAATTGAATAATATAAATTGGCTACGATTTTTTATGGAGCTTATTCCACGAAATAAACTACTGTCTTGAACGAGTTTATTTCTGACATAACGGAATATTCAAAATATGAGTTTTGAAATTGATTATGGTATGTTGTGAATTATCAAAATCAAATATAGCAGTTATTGACACATATTTGGCTGGTTTGAACTAATTTTTTGAAACATTCAAAACGATTTGTACAACATAAGTCTAGATTGAAGCTTAGTCTTCTGGTTGAATTTTTGAAAATATTGTCATTTGAGATATAGTTGAATTTTTAGAAAATTCGTAACTATATATCTGGTTTATTAAATCGGAATATATATATATATATATATATATATTATTTTTTTATAATGTGGAAAATATAGTTTATAGGATATATTGTTGAAAATATTAATCATTTTCAAAGATTTTGTTGAAAAACCTTTTCATTATTATACTTGATTTGGTTTGATAATTATTTGTAGATTCAAACATAATAAAGAAATAATTTGGTAATTGTTAGAATATTTTTTGTTTTATATTAAAAAATATAAAAATATTTTCTGATATTTCTCGAACATTTTCACAAATTTTCTGGATAGCTTTTTTGTTGAAAGTAATAAACTTCAATGTGTGGTTCGACTTAAAATAAAAAAGGATCTTTACTATTGTATGTTATTTTACAAATGAGATACTATTTATATAATGATGAATTTAGATGAAAAACCTCCACAAAGCTCCGATAATTTTATATTTTTATTAGTTCCAAATGTTTATTTGTATTCAACTCTTTTCACCTAGAGGTTTTATTGAGTTTGAGTTATGTATAATATAAAAAAATGCTTCATATTAATATTTAATATATTTATAAATAAAGATTCATTTTCTTGATTTTCTTGAACATTTTCACAACTTTTCTGGATAGCTTTTTTGTTGAAAGTAATAAACTTCAATGTGTGGTTCGACTTAAATTAAAAAGGATCTTTACTATTGTATGTTATTTTACAAATGGGATACTATTTATATAATGATGAATTTAGTTGAAAAACCTCCAAAAAGCTCCGAATATTTCAGTTTTTTATTAGTTCTAGATGTTTATTTGTATTTAATTCTTTTCACCTAGAGGTTTTATTGAGTTTGAGTTATGTATAGTATAAAAACATACTTCATATTAATATTTAATATAGTTATAAATAAAGATTCATTTTCTTGATTTTATATATATACATTATTTTGTTATGAAATTTATACAGGTAGTATTGACATGAGTTTCAATTTGTCCGTTTTAGTTATTTGAATATACCTTTCTTTTACGCTTGACTCGATGTTGCTTTTGCATGAGTTTTTTTTTCCTTCGACTTCATTCAGGTGGACTTATTCAAAAATCACAGCCATCGGATTAGTCATTGGAAAGGAAACAATTTCATGTATTATGTACTGAATCACCTTTTCATGTATGTATTAACCTTACATAAATGATTAAAACATCCCACGTTGTAGATGCAAACCTTTAATTCAAATAAACAAAGTACAATAATTTTATTGAATTGGTGTATCTTCCCATCTATACAATTGATTACAATCATTATGAGATATACAGTGAGAATTATACAATTCATTTACAATGAAGTATGGGAGCGGCTATTATCCCTCAGTTTAGGTTAATTCTCCTCGTCCTACTATACTCTACGGAAGAGAGGTCTCGACTAAGGGCTGGTAACTTGTTTGCTATTATTTATGGGGTTTCACTTTTATTCTACAATTCTGCAACTAGATTTTATGACTATGTAGCTTTTCATCTCATCTTGCATGGAATCGGAGTAAGGCGAGGGTCGAGATAAATCGAGTAGATTCGGTGCTAGCTACAAAACTGCCAAGAGGACGAAGGGTATTTCGTGGAACCTCGGGATCCATGGTCCAAAATTAACGGGCAAAAGGTGCACAAACGATCCATGCGCAATTCACCCTCGGCATAAACTCGAGCACTTGCAACGCTGTAGGGAATGAATGACCATGCGCAATTCACCCTCGGTATAAACTCGAGCACTTGCAACACTGTAGGGAATGAATGACCTCGGCGGGGAGCTGCTGTGTGCAACACCAACACGGTCGTGGGTGCCAATGGGAGGGGAGAGTAATTTCTTGGCGCCGTTGAGAGCCCTGAGGTTCACATTTGGGGGAAAAAGCCCCCAAAAATTCCCGGCAGCCTCGGAGTCCCCCTTGTACCGAAACGCTAGCACTCCTATATTCACTCTGACCAATGACATAGGTTTCTTCTTTATAGTGAGGGATAATTAGTCTAAACTTAGGGATAACAACCCACTAGCTAAAGTATATGGAAGAAAATAAATGAGTTATATTTGAGTGTGGTGGATTATTTTTTCGTTTCTCCTTTATAGGCCTTAACCATTCTAGTGAATGTACAATCCAGACTACAAGCGTACATACTTTCAAGGCATACTCATACTCTCGTTGTATCTGATGTGATTATAAATCTATGGATGTGAATGTGATTGGATTAGAAAACATATTCTACAACATGCATTCTAATTAAAGACTTTGTTGTGTTACCCTACTGTTATTAGACAGAGACGTGGAATGTCACAAGCGGGCTCTCGTCACTAGTGAAAAGGCACATACTTACGATCACTACACTTGGAATTTGCGTCTAGCCGGTCGTCCTTTACCGAAAGGTTCTGTCGAAAGACTGGCAACCCACGTACAACGTGTATGAAATCAGCACGTGTCGGTCTGCGTCCACGAGGTTTTCGCCACAGAGCTTCTTCCGCCAACTTCCTGTCCCCGCGCCCTCCATCTCAAAAGTAGGAGGCGCTGTTGCGCACGAACATATAGCGGCAGGAGCGTCGCGCTCCTCTCATCTCGTGATCCTTCGCGGACGGGGGAAGAATTCACTGTCGCTCGAGAGGATTTCACACCCTCGTGAAATCGGAGAGAGGAATATCGACGGGGATTCGATCCTGGTCACTTTTCTCTAGTCTCGAAGAAGAGACGAACGCTTGCAACTGTGGAGATGCACTCGGAATGTCACTAGTCTTTTGATTTCATTGAACTTCTGAGTCGTGAGAGACGAGAGTTGAGGGTGCAGAAAGGTCTTGCGTTTGGCGAGTGGAGTGGGTGAGGACATTTCTTGACTTTGTTAGAAGCGATCTGGTGTGGAATTTGTGTGTGGTTGTACGAGGATTGTCGAGGACGCTTTGGATAGTCGAGGGAGGAGTCTGGTGAGACTGAGAGGCAGGCACGATGGGTGAGCAAAATGACGCAGAGAAGCGAGATGGCGGGGAAGCTGGGGAGCAGCAGGAGAAGAGGCCCGCGTTTGCCAGCAACAGGAGGACTGGATCGTCGTGGAACCGTGGGGGCAATTCCTCTTGGAATGTGGGTTCGAAGGATCAGCGGCGAGCTCGCAGGCGGGCGGTATCAAGCTCAGCTGGTACGCAGGAGGGTGATAGCGATTCCTCTAATGACTCCGGTGCTTTCTCTGGCAGGTATTGACTTCTTCCTTTTCATGCGATATTTTCATGCTGTTGACCTTCATCCCTGACTTCAAATTGTACTTTGTACTGCTGAATTGTCTCTGAAAAAGCGACATCATTTGTCTCTCCCTGTGTGAGATCTTGCACTAGAGATGTTTATGGATGTCAAGCTTACGAAGTCTTTTATTGCTTCTAAGAGTAACATTGTTAAAACAACTGGTAGTCTGTCCTGCACAGCAGAGCAGTTTGTAAGACGGGGTTGGAAACAGCGTATTTGGAGCTTCTCTTATAATTAAGACAGCTGTTTTCAAGCCGAGGAAGTACATAATGTCAAATTCTTATACCAGTATGTAGTTGCGTGAGAGGCATTCGGTTTATTCCATGTTTCGAAGCTCAAGTCCAAGTTGAGTTCTGTTGTGTGTGTGTGTGTGTCGGAAAAGATTGAGACTGTTGACTATCGTTTGTATTGCAGTGACGGAAAGAAGGGCGGTGGAGTGAAGCCTTCACTTGTCAGCGGTGAACCTCAAGTACATGTGCAAAAAGGAGTAAGTCTACCTAGTCGGTGACCGACTTCTTTTATTTGTTATTTTTTGGTTCCATTTATTTTTGTTAGAGCGAGCTTTTCACCACGCGACATACTGTTGTTGCCCGTGTTTTTGTCAATAACTGCTGTGAACAGAAGTGTATATTCTATGAACGTTGATGTCATTTTAAACATTTTAAGGCGTGTTGAAGAGTGGGTAAAACGCACATCTTACTAAATAATTTTCGATGAGGAGATTGTTTTTGCTTTCTTGCAAGACTTAGCAGAGCATTTTCAATGTACACCTCATTGACTTTGTTGTGGACTTGACGGTGGCTTTTAATTAAATCAAGCTTTTCCTCGAATTCTGCGCATATATCTGTATTCACATCAATGTCAGCTGACTTTGATTTTGCAGAATTGTCCATCGCACGCGTTGTGTTAGTGAGTTTTCATTGTCACTATGGAAAAACTCGTTCATATCAGTACTCGAAGTTATTGCAAGAAACCTTTAAAAAAACAAACAAGGAAAACTCAGGGCAAATCATTTTTAACGTATAAAGACTCGTGCAGAAAGAAGCGTTCGAGGTGGAGGGTTCTGTGGTTACAGAAGCTCATCCTGATGCACTCTACAATATAATCACGGATTATGAGAATAGTGCTAAGGTGTATAGAACGGTGGACAAGGTGGAAGTCGAAGAACAAGGATGTGAGAAAGTTGTGACTCAGCATCTGCATTGGAGTTTTCTCATGTGGTCTGGAAAGTATGATGTGCGTATGAGGATGAAGCCTAACCCAGAGACTCGGTCAATCTCATACAACCTGTAAGTCGTTTGCTCTAATCTCCATCTTCAGTGCAAGTAGAAACTTCCACTGAAGATGGGGTTTTGTTTCTTAGTTGGCTTTTGGATTTGCTCTATGATTTATATTCATTGTTTTCCTCCTCCGTCAATTTCATAACTTCGATGTGTCGCACCAATCCAGTGATAAACAAGGGTTCTTGAAAATCTTCAATGGATCTTGGACTGTCGAACCCATTGCCGTCGAAGGAAAGCCGACGGTGTCTAAGCTTACCGTTCAGCAGGAAGTTCTGCCGTCCTTCATGCCGCCTGGTCCTTTAGGTAAGGTCCCTGTTGTGAAAATAAAGCTTTCCATTCTTGCTTAAGACACTAGACTGTATGGACAGACTTCTTCTCTTTCCCGGGAAATATTGTCGCTGACATAATTCCCTGTTGAACTTGTGTGGCCATGTTAATCTCGGAGCGAGCGGTGCAGGAGCATATACTGCAAAAATAATGTCAGGCCAGGTCAAGAATCTTCTGTCCGACGTCGCGAAAGAAGCTTCCGAAGTTACTAAATCAGGAGCCTCAGCTGCCTAAGTTTTTAACTGTTTCCAAGAATTTGATATGTACATACCTGTGATGCTCTGTAGAATATGGTCTCTCACATTCTTGACAGATTCAATTTTAGCAACATTAGTAGACAATTCCGGTGGATATATCTCCCGAGTGGTGGAATCTTCACCGTCGTCGTGTGAGATGATAGGAAATTACACACTGCAGACCACAGTTAGGAATAGCGATGTGAACAGAGGGACCCACTCAAATGTACATTTGATCCTTGATGGGGAGAAAATCTAAAACGCTTTCTTCTTTAATTGTTTTTCCATGAGTAGACACACATGCTTGCAATTTTACGTAATGAACGTAAGAGCTAGTAGAAGGAATTAAGCTTCACGATATGATAATCCGCAAGTATGGCTTTGGTTATTGACTCATAAGATAGAAAGTTATTCAACATAGTAATGTGAAAGCAAAGTATAATATTAGCTAACACGCAAACAATATTTATGAAACGAACCTTTCATTCCGTATGTATAGAAACATTCAGTTCGGTAAACTTAGAGAGATGTCACGAACATTTGAAAATCATAAAATAAATTGTCAGAAGATTAAATTATAGAAAATATTGGATATAATTGATAAAAATCGACAAGATAAAATAGAAAAAGTAGCCTCTGAGTCATAAACGTATGCCACATTAATTTTAGACTGCAATATGTTCCGTGTATATTGGTAAAGACAAATCGTTATAACAGCGATTCAAATTCACGTAAACTGTGCCAAAACTAAATAATAAAAATTCAAAAAACTATTGCATGCTTATATCGCTCAATATTAACTAAGAAGGTCTAACTTCTTAAGCTTATAATTATGAAGGAATTATATATCATGAAACAACAGTAACTTAAATACAGTTAATAATTGCTTAAACTTTAATTTCTAAAATAATTGATAAAATAATTTCTAAAAATTTTGTTCAGCAAAATTTATTATTTCGTTATAGATACGATATAATTGTTCGACTAACATACAACATTAACAGTAAAGTGATGCAATTGTTATACGAATTGAAGGTGAACAACAGTAGTCTTTACAAATTGCTATATAGATTTAAATGTTTATCTTTATCCAAATGAAATGATTAATAATCGCTATGCGATCAAAACACTTGGTAAAATAAAATAGAACTTAAAAGTTGTTTTCTATTCTACTTGAATTCTCATTTATTCTATCATCAAACTTTTTTTTTTCAATTAAACTAACATCAAAATATGTTTTTTCAATCTGCGAGATACGTATATCCAAAGTTTTTCAAATGTTTGTAAATTTTTTTATTCAAGTATTTACATACATATTTGATTAATGATACTCTGTATGTTTCGATTTTTTTTATACATACAGATTTGTAATGATGCAAATTAATGCAAGTAGATTTGGTTTTTTGAATGATAAAACTAGATCTTCATGTATGAATAACTGCAATATCATATTGCATTTCAAACTATCATGACTTGAAAAGTATAAGATTGATCTAATTTGAATTTAAATACATAATAGAATAGATGAGATATAAATAAATAAAAACAAATGCATGAAATCAAAAAAACCTAAAGATATATGATTTAGATTTTTTTTTATTTCAAAATGGTATTCATGTCAATTACATACAAGTTAACTTATTATAATCTTCTTTATTAAATATAATCAAATGCTAAAATATATCCATAAAATTTAAATTTATTCAAAGTTCAAATATATAAGTATACAAGATCTTGATCCGAATCTATATGTAACATCATATTGTTAATCCGAGACAATAATTAGCAAATGCAGCAACATTCTATCACATGTTAAACAGAAGTAGACACAAAGATAACGTGTTTCACTCACATGCAGAGCTACATCCACGACAATAACACACTGTCTAGAGAAAAAGAGTTGCTCAAGAAAGCTTAAGGCCTATGATTGCTAGCAATAAGAATCTATCGCACTAGTATGACAATTCCATAAGATGAAAACAATCAAAATGTCTATTCCAAAAAAAGCTCTCTATATGACAAAAAATGCAAATAAAAAAATCCAAAAATCTTCATATCTTTTATTGGTTTTGTAGCCTAAATTTAAAATAACATTACTTTCTCTTTAAACGTGATATCTTGGTGAAATTTTGGTTGAAACATATTTATCTTCCGATACAAAATCATACAAATTTTATAAGTCTAACTCCACATATACATAAAGAAATTTATTTTATACAAATTTTCTCACGAGTAAATTTTTGGTACCCGTGAAAATACTTTTAACTTTCAACACTCATCACTTTATATCAACATGTGATCTAACTTGAAAAATAAATTGAAACATATCTCATCTTTCACTCTACAATCAATAATAATTTTTGAAAATACTTTGAAAAAATGTTTTTCGGTCCTTAAGACCAATTTTCTCTTAAAAAAGACTTTGTATGAGGAAAAAAACCATTTTCTCTTGTTATCTACTCCTATCGGACACCTCAAATCTTGTAGCATTCAATGTCAAATCATCTAAAAAACCAAAGAAATTTCAAAACACACAAAACCCTAAAAAACGCGGAAATCCTCGAGATTTCAGGCTACGAAACGCAAAGTTGGAATTGAGTGGATTGAGCCGCCTACTCTTTACAATATATCTTTTCAATAAAACTTTCAAAAGTAAAACACAATACATATGTAATACAACTGTAGTATAACACTTAGTATTAGTTTGAAATACATGTAGTACAACTTGGAAGCATATAGTACATTCAACTCTAGTTAAAGTTTACACAAATTATAATCGCATTTTTTATGATTTTTCTATCCAATTTATACTCACACAAAACACTAACCACATTGTAGTATCAAGAATCATATAAATTCCACGACAATAGAAGAGAGTGTAGTGATAACGAGAAGAGTCATGTATAGTCAGAAGTCTGAGTGATAAAGTATTCCATCTTGATGACACTTCTTAGCCAAGTTTAGCTAGATAAGAGGTTACTCTTTATCAAGAGTTAGCCTCAAAAATCTTCCCCTTAACTCATGTTAAGGGAAGAGTATTCTCCGTAACCTATATTATTACTCTGTAAAAATAAAAAAACATAACACAAGACTTCTCTTGTCAAATAGAGTTAACTAGAAGTAAGCTATAACCATAACATGCTAGGGTAATGATATAAAGAGGTAAGAAATAAACCTGCTAGCATAGAATAAACAATCACCTCTGTAACCTATATAATTATTTCTCAAGAAATTCCAAAAATAAATAAATAAATAAATATTCACAAGGCTCCGCTTTATACTAAAAGTTAATTAAAACTAAGTCGTAGCCATCACAATCTAAAATAATTATATAAAGAGGTAACTGAAAATACTATGCTAGCAAACTCTACTTTTGCTTCCCATGAAAAACCTTAATAGTTAGACAATGTCACCTAAAACTATTCAAAAAATAACTTCAATCAACACATCAGTTGGATTGAGTCTATCGTCTACTTTGATTAGCTTAATTGTTTTATGAGAAATTTATCGTCTGAGAGAATAATACCTGATGTCAATGTGTTTCACTTTGTTGATTATAAATTTGTTTGCATCCAAAAATAGAGCACCTTGGCTATCATAGGCTAACTATGATAGCACTTTGTAACGTTCGTCAATGGAGAGAAAACATCGTCTTTGATCTTCATAGACATTATTTTTGTGTGGCTACTTTTGCCACATCTCCAACAAATCACCATCTCTTTCTTAGGAAATATAATCCTAGATTGAGATCTCATACTATCAAAGATTGTACTCTTTTATCTGTATCTCGTCCATTTGGATTCAACATTACGCCAAATGTTGGGAGCCTTCAAACATGATTGATTTCTGATCACAATCAGTGTAATCTCGGAAGAGGATGGACATCATTTTTTCTTCTACCTTGTCTGCTAAGAGAACATTTATAACCTCTTTGTAAGTGATGGTGTTCATATTAGGATGGAATAGAATTTTTATAGTGTCTTTGTAACACTAGGGTTTAGAGAAAATATCATTTTGAAATGAGATTTTCTTTGAACATGAGAGCCAACAATAATGGTTCACCTTTCTCTTATAAAGATCTTAATAACAAGTACAAAGAGATAAGATTTCATCTCCATCATCCATTTCACTCCTAGTGGATGGATGACAAGGAAAATAATCGAAACAAACATATAGATCATTGATGTGGCGTTCTCAACTAACACACTCAATTTTTACCTATCAAACACACGGATCACAGATGGACTAATCATGATTAGTGTACTCTAAAATGACTATAAAATCATCTTGACTAACCTCTACTTTAGTTGTTACTAGCTAAAGATGATTAGAACCTGATGGGAAAATAGTAACAAGCTAAAAAGATGTAAAGACTTTTTCATGTTGAAAATATCCTTGCCATACTCTGGAGATCTATCACGAAGGCGTGAATGTGATCTTGGATTCTAGATCTAGGATCATCGTGAATTTCAAAAGCTTCATGTATGTATACATCACGTTTGACCGCTACTCGTCATGGAATTGTCGCTGAAAGACGTCAAAAACCTATGAGATTTCAATCAGAGCCATGCATTAAACTTCAAAACTTTACCCATATCTAACCCCAACCCATGAGTGTGTCAGCTGTACCCACCCATGAGTATGTACTCATGGCAACTTTTCCATACCAATTACCCACCCACTATTCATGAATCCATATCCAACTCATAGCCATGAGTCCATTGTCCATACCCAACTCATATGCATGAGTCCATCACCAAAAATAAGTTACTTAAGAGCACTTGAAGTGTTTTGTCTTAAAGTGATGCGCCAATGATTAATTTTAAACAGTTACGTACAAATGAAAAGCATGAATTTGGTAGTGCAGTTTTTTCATTTTTTTGGAAATAAGGTTGTTAGTAAGTAGAATCCACGTAAGTTTTAACTTTTGAGATAGTAGTAGTCAGAAGAGAAGAGAATAAGAACTTTTAGTGTAGACGCTAAGTAGAAGTAGGTAATTTGAAGTATCGTTCTAGCCAACAGGCCAAGCTCTGCTTGGCCTGTTGGTGCCGATGAGGTCCAAAGCCGAAAGAACGGACCAGTTGGTCTTGAGCTATGGATGGAAGGGGCGAAGATTCAGGTTCTCCTAGATCAGCCTTCGGAAGAGGGTAGTCGGTATTCGGCGTTGATGACTTCAAAGTTACCTATGGAGTACTTCTGGCAAAGGATCCCCAGTGGAGTAAAAGATGGCGCCGCACGGGAAAGAAATTTGAATGGCAGCACCG